ACGAAAGAAAGTTCTACCGAAGGGCCCAACATGTTAGGTTTGGTTAACCCACTTTTCTTATCTTGAAAAAATAAAAGTAGGCTTATGATATCACCTTGTCTGTCTGTGCATTCACTCTCTCTTTATGAAACTTGGCGTGTATATCATGACACCTAGTCCCATCTCAACTGCGTCCCTTCCATCAGTCTGTGTGTTTGTAACCCCTCTACAGTTGCTAGGCAACGGCTCGGTAAACAAATGCCTACGGCAACGAATACACGCAACAATAGTAAAACTGTTAGATGTGTTGTTTTCTCTGCGATCCGTGTCTTACCAAAGGAAAGTCTATGGGTCTGTCTGTGTGTCCCACTTTTGTTGCTAGGCAACGGTTCAGTGAACATGTTCCCACGGCAACAAAGATTTGCTTGAAGCATTGTTTTCTATGCGATCCGCGTCGTATCAAAGGAAATTAGGCGATTAGTTCTTCCCAAAACTTCTTGTTTCATAACATATTCATTTGAAGCTGGAAACAGAACCAATTTCTGAAACGTAGTGGTTTTGATAAATTCGAATGACGGGCGAAGTGCAAAGTGATAATTCTAAACAAAGGACTACCCGAACACGACAAAGCTTTATATTTAACCGCTCACCAGCATAGCTCGGAATCCTTAGTGTAAGCAGACTACACCGAGTTAAATCTAAACAGGTACCATGCTTAGGGCCCTGTTATGTGTGGGGACGAAGAGACTTGAAAGGCTTCACTCTGTATCTCGAGACGCACTACAAATGTGTTTGTGTTACAGGAAGATGTGACGAGAGGCTCTAATTACATCAAATGTATAGGGTGATTCTAAATTATCATCGGTGTTTCCGCGGCCTATAAACAGAAACCCCGGCAATAATTAATAATCATTCTGTGTACCCGAGATCTGATATGGAAGTGGTAATTACTTCTAGGATGTGACACCGTGACACACAAACATTTCATAGGGACCCTCTTCTACAGCATGTTTTTCCAAAACGTTGGTGATTGTGTCACGTTACAGAAGACAGTAATTTGAAAATACATATACCATTTATTCATAATTATTTTTTAGTTTTCACAGTGGTGAAGAATCATATTGTGGCCCTCTGGGGTATGACACAGTGTAGTCTGGTATGTCGTTAAAAAGATTTTGGAGGAACCACCTGATCTCATATTTAAACCTGTGGATGGAGGCAATATGTTCCTCCGAAACATTGGCAGTATGAAAATATATCGACTTGTTCACATTAATGTAGGCAGGAAGTGTTCTGATTTCAAATTATGATCCATAACTCATATTGACCTCGTATTTTAACCTGTAGATGGAAGCAATATATTCCTCGGAAACATTGGCAGTATGAAAATATATCGACTTGTTCACATTAATGTAGGCAGGAAGTGTTCTGATTTCAAATTATGATCCATAACTCATATTGACCTCGTATTTTAACCTGTAGATGGAAGCAATATATTCCTCGGAAACATTGGCAGTATGCAAATATATCGACTTGTTCACATTAATGTAGGCAGGAAGTGTTCTGATTTCAAATTATGATCCATAACTACAAACAAGGAACTAGATGTTCAGAGAATACGTAATTAGGATTTAGAGTTTTTGTCTTCGCAGGAGGATTAATTGAAATTGTAGGCACAAGAACTCTTTGACTGGGATCAAGGTATCATTGGAATATTTATTAATAGTAAATGGTCTTATATTTTTAAGTAATCATTAACAATAATTACCATACAGTCATCACAATCATCACTAAAATGACATTTTTTTGCAGTATAGGTAGGGCGTCAGAAAGGAAGTTAGGAAGGGGGTGTAGTCTTGGGTAAGGGACGATGTACGTTTTATGATACATGCAGCCAATAGCTTTCTTCAGGAAATGTAAATATTAGAGTAGCGGAGACAATCACTGTTAATAATTAGCTGTCACTGTGAATATCTGAGCACCCGAAAGTATAATGGCACACTGCACTGTGTCCATTCGTGGTAGGGTGAAACCTGCGGCCACTCAAGAAACTGCTTCTGTAGTCTGTATGGCTGTAGAATCGTCGCAATTAATAAAAATCACCCTGTATAACAATACAGAGTGTCTTGAGAAAAACTTAGTCTCATGTCTCTTGTTTTTGTTTATATTGAGTTCTCATGATTTGCTGAAAATAACACATGACACTTAATTATGTTATTTCTGATTTGTACAAAATATTTCGAGATTTATTCCGCCCACAACATTCCAGACCATAAAAGTCAAATGGAAAATTAAGGTTTCATGAGCTGAAATTCATTATTCACTTACATCCCTGTTGGCACTATAGTCGGGCTAATTATTATACTTATTAAAAGCTGACGGTTGCTTTTGTATGATTTATTTAATGAGCACAATATGTGTAGTATTACAAAAAATAAAATTACGCTTTTGAAAAGAAGGAGACGTTTTGCTGCTATGACGTGTTTTGAAATTTCTCTTAATAACTAACTAGTTTTTATTTCTTTTTGCTCATATAAACAATATGACATCTCGAAATACTTCCGTACATTGAAATATGTTTCTTCTTTGGTACCAATATAAACATATATAGAATGTTTTTGTACAGTTTTACGTGTTTGTTCACAGTTCCTGTCAGTATTCAAGTGTTCACACTAAGTCATATGTAGACGCAACGTTGCGTAGAGACGGCTGTGCACTTTTACCATGCTTAATAAATTACTCTCTTAAATAAAATATGTGGGAAATAACAAGAAATTGTAACGAAAAAAATAACGTACACTGACACCTAGACTACATGTAATATTTACAGTTCTTTAAAAAATATTCATTTTTTTCTCTCTTGGAGCTCTTTAAAAGCAAAACACCCTATTCCGGAGGAAAACAACGAAGAAGTTATCGAATAATATTTCCATCTCTCAAAATTTCGTTACCACATAACGAAACGCTATGGATATAGGCCCTTAATAAACACTCCAAAGTATACATCGTTTTAGTATTCATGAGCAAAGCGGCCATATGATTTGTCTCTAAACCCTTCGTGAATTTTCCATCCATTTGCCTTACATCCAGACATTCAAACATCATCAGCCATACATCGAAACCGTACAAGAAAACCAGTTTTCCTTTCTCTGAGAAGTACAGAGTAATTCAGAAAGATGGACACAATTTCAATTGACTATATTTCCTGAACTGTATGTTGCATTTGAATTCTGTAAAGTACATTTGAAATAGGATGTTACTAAAGTTTCTAGTACTACCGCTAGTGCCCTCCATCACTGCGTCCCGGGCCGATCGCGTGTATCGGAGGAGAACGTGGAGTGCATTCGAGTGAACTTTGAGCGCAGCCCAGTGAAGTCAACCCGTAGTGCTAGTAGAGAACTTGGACTATCGCAAACAACTGTGTGGCGTGTACCACCTCTTCCCACAAATTTGAATGACCTAAGAAACTGTATCACAGCTGCGGTGAACTCAGTGACGCAAGATATTTGTGATCGAGTGTAGGATGAATTCAGCTACCGTCTAGATGTTATCCGTGTAGCCTGAGGAGGGGGGGACATTGAACATCTATAAACTTCCATGTATGTATAATCAAGTGTAATTTACAGAATTCAAATGCAACACATATTTCAGGAAATATAGCCAATTGAAATTGTGTCCATCTTTCTGAATCACCCTGTACTATAAGGTAAACAGTTTTGATCTGAGGTTCTCATAGCGGTGATTATGAACAATTCTATTTTCTAGGATGTAACATTCAGCATAGCTTTCTGCCTGCTTCACGCTGATCTCTTGTTTGGTTTACTCTTCGGACCTGAAGATGGAGGCTACATGTTCCCCTGTGACGTCGGTTCCCAAAGTGTTATATCCCAGAAGATAGAACAATTCTTTGGTTAAGCCTAAGCAATATAATGGCATACATTAGTTCGTGCTTCAGTACTATGAATTAGCTAGGAAGGTATGTTTTCAACAAAACAAACCCGTGTTTCTGACAGGCACTCTGCCCAGCGTAGTGATAAAGAAGTTCACATCTTTATGATACTGATTAATTCAGCATTAACTTGTATTAAAGTCAATATATATTTTCTGATAATAACTAATTACAATTATGGAACCGTCTGTTTGAATGAAAACATCAGAATAATCATTTTGTAAAGCATAACTGCATGTATAGAGCTGCAAACAAACTCGAAATTGCTATACGAATGTATCCATGTGAGGACCACACAATGAAAACTTCACTGAAGAATTCATTGTCTTCTTTGTTGTCCCTCTAACAGGCCGTGGAGGCCCGTAGGCTTGTGAGAGGTTGAGGCTCCTATATCTCCTAGACAATCGGCTCACAGGTGGCGGTAAGGGTGTCAGCCTTACGCGCCGGCCGCCATTTCCCCCAGGAAGATTCCCGGTACACATTTCTATTAGAGGCTGAGTCGTGGGCCATATTGCGGCTGGAAGGAATAGATCAATTGAAAAAATATACCTCACTGGGATTCGAACCCCGCGAACTTCCGGCTTGTAGCATAGTGCCTCAATCAACTACGCTACTGCGTACCCCGAAGAGGAATTCAGCAGTCTAAATTCTTACAGACAGACCGTTCTGTTTCAACAAGGTTCATCATCATCATCATCATCATCATCATCATCACTCCAATAGCAGTGCCGTTACGTTTCACTGATGACAGGGAACGCAAGACATCTCAGCCCAATGGACAATTTTAAACTCGACATTCATCTAAATAGTATTTAGAGATTCACTTCCTATATCACAGAAAAAAATATATATCCAATACAAACACCAGTCGCTTTGTAAGATTTGAAGTTTTAACGGTGGTGACTATGAAGAATGCCGTCTTCTGGGATGTGGCTGCAGCCACCTGCTCACGCTAGTTCGTCGTCCCAGATTTTTCTACCCTGAAGATGGAGGCGATACGTTCCTCCGAAACGTCGGTTTACACAAGATCTACACGGCGCCGCGTCCCAGAAAACGGCATTCTTCACCAGTCGCTTAATTGTATTTAATAACCAAATGGCTGAGAATCGTACAGAACAAATAAACATAACCTATGGACAAATTACATAGCCTATTTAGTATTAAACAATAAGGCATATAAAGTAACCACCATGCTAGACGAGTTATCCACAATGATAACCATAATTAATTCCATTGCAAGGTTTCATAATCAAGTTCCTTTCTCGAAGCTCATCAACAGAAGAAAGGAAAACTGTGTAAGTTCACAAATTACTGATCCCGATGCAACACTCATTCACACATGAAACACTCATACCATATTCACCGGCTTTATTACATTATATAAACATATTCTTCCCTGTCTGGGGTCTCGCACGACGTTTCGGCCTATGTGCTGGTCCAAACGAGCGCGTGTCCCGCCAGTCCAAGCAGAATTACTGCTACTGCAGCTGTACGGGGTGGAAGGCAGGCGCTCAGACCAAGCCCCGCTGACAGATGGCCCCACCAGTATCCAGGAATGGGGGACGCAGCATTTTTGCCTCTTTGCATTGCAGCCGGATGTTCCCCTGTAAAGGAGAAGACGTGGATGTACATTAAAGGGAGAAGGCCAATATGTCTTAGTGAAATCTTCACGTAGTTACAGGTATTCATATGACCTAAGTCATTAAGTCCCTTCAGTAAATTACAGTCGATTATGGTCAGGGGGATAAAACTGAGATAGGAGAAAGGGGAACACGGTAACTACCGCATCTACACACAGATCTCAACCAATCAGAGAGCTTACATAAACCAATCTGAATTCCCGCAATTATATGAGGTTATGGTGTGTCCTCATATGCAAATTCTTAAGTATGAATTTTCATTTGATGTAGTTGTGAAAGTAGACATTTGCGAACGAAGTTACATATCCAAGTTAAATATATTACTTCGTATATGAATGTTATGCTTACTACCACAAATGAAATTAGAAATATATAAAATTCTTTCAAGCCCAAAATTTTGCAACAGTCCAATAAGAGAGATATTAAGAAACTAAGATGCTACATTTTTAACTATATTTCGTATCTTCCCATGAGGTTTTAGTCTCGAGTATTCAGGTTTTACTCCAGAATTGGCGCTAAGTTTATATTTCATTTTTTCAACTGCTACTCGAGCTGATTTAGCTTGGTCTAAATTTTAACGGCGGATGAGCCCCCTTCGGGCCAGTAATGAGTATGGTCGTCGCGGCCAAAGTACACCGTTTTGGCCAGTCGGGCATTTAAACTTAGCTAGTGAAAGCACGCGCACACGCAGCTAGTAGAAGCGCATGCACAGTCCTAGATATTTATTTTTAAATGTAGTAATTACCAGACCGACTTGAGTAAAACCATAATAGAAAACTTAAAATGATATCTAAGTGAACAACAGCAAAAAAAATTGTGTATGAGTTATGCCCAAATTCATCCACGAGCCAGTACTTTTATTGCAGATTCTGCAGATTAATACGTTAAAAATATATAGTAAAATTTCGATGTACATGTCTTGTTGTTGTCTGACTGATGCATATATATGCAGAAATAAAATTACAGTATTCGATTTCACAATGAACGCACAGAAAACAGATCGCACTCTGTATCTCAGCCACGAAGGAACTCTCTGCTCACGACCATAGAAAGGGCAATAATCTCTTGCAGATATAACGGAAGGTCTTAGCTTTCTCTTAAATAGGCGTTCTTTCATTCTTCCGTCCTTTTCTCAAAAATATTCGAAAATCCGAAGTGTGTAAGCAGTGCTAGCAGAAGACCAAATGATTTTATTGCTTCCATCTGTGTTATGACACCAGGGACTGCTTAATTTGTCAAGTGTTACAGACATAAATGAATTTATAATGCAGAACAACTGTGTGAAGAACTGGAAAAATTATTTTCAGTACGCATCAAAATTAAAAGAAAAAAAGGAAAATAGAGTAATGAAATTAAGGCAGAATCTGTTGTGAACTGACAGGGGCTTATACATATACTGCCAATAAAGCCATGTGCAGTATATATGTATAGTTTTAGAGGTCGTGACATGTAGTTTAGAGGAGGATGGACGAAATATAGAAAGTAATTGACTGCGACAAGTCAGAAGGGATAGACCCGTCTTGTCATCAGAAAGGATTCCTATTAAAGGCCAAACAGTGAAGCTTACTCAAGACTAAGAACTGGTCATGAGCGTCTGAATTGGCTCTAAACCAAGAGAAAGTAACTGGCAAACCGTCAGTCGTAAAATGATTTTGAAACGAAGCGGCAGGATATGTGGAAGACTAAGGCTAATATTTGTCACAACCATGGTGGGCCTTTGGTAAGGCACTGCTGTATGGTTTAGAAGTTACGTGGTTGGAAAACATGACTACATCTGTGGAAAAAGAGTAATAAATTTGTGCATGTAGGAAGCAAGTGGTACTATAGGAGGAAGGTGAAGGTAACAAATTTGTATAGATCTAGTGGTACGTGGTTAAGACATTGGCGAAGTATTGGGAAAGTACGGGGTTCGAGACCACGGTGTCGTTTGTCAATAGAAATTGAAAAGTGAATAAATAAATGCGATTTTTCTGCAGCTATAAACTAAGTCGTAGAATATGGGGAGGATCGCTGAAAGCAGTAGCATAGATGTTCTGGTGGTCTAGAGGTAAGGCACCGGCGTAATAAATGAAAGGTCGGTGGTTCGAGACCACGAGGATTTTTGTAATGAAATTTTTATTGTTCTGTGGGAATATACTGTGACATGTAAACCCACTGATAACAAATGTTGCTAAGGAACAGCTCTGCGGACATGCTGTTCCTCCAGCAATGAGAAAACACTGAATAATGGAAGAGACCTTTTCTCTGTTGTCCGAGCCAGGGCTATATGATGAGGACTAGCAGTTCAGAATAAGGGCTGGGGAGGACTAGCAGCAATTTGGTAATCAGCCTGGACAGATAGAAGATTTGTATATAGTGAAAAGGAATGATTTTCAATGACATGCTATACGTGCATACCTACACCTGGCCCAGGCCAAGCACACTCATGAGCGACAAAGTCATCTCATCAGAGAGGATGTTATATAAGGACTATGACCGCAAGGATTCTGTTGAGTCTCAAGGGGCTTGACATCAAATCAAAGTGACTGGTGATAAACCGCCACACATAAAGTAAATCTTAAAAGCTGATGGTTCAGTCAGTTGAGAACTGCATTTGTGGGAAGTGAGAAGCTGGTAGCTGAGGCCGGGGATAGTTCGGGAACTCAGAGGAAGTGGAAAATGTCTGCCACTGGAAGTTGTCACCAGGCAATGGCTAGTAAAGGCTGAGAAGAGTTTAAATGTGCTGTAGTTACAGTGATCTTTGGAGTGTGTAACTCAGTGAGACCGTCGTAGTTATTTATAGTTACAAGCATAAGTGTCCAATAAATCCAGTTGCCAATCCAAACCCTGTGTCTAGTCACAAACACGTGACAATATGAAATCAAATGCTACCTGTCTTAGTTCAACAGTATAGCAGTTTTAACACAGTTTAATAAAATATTTGTAACATATCAAGACACCTGAAGATGGCCGTTTGGGGCCGAAACTTGTAGTGTCGAGGTGTATAATGTTAAACTAACAATTGAGTGGTGAATGGAAGAGTGTTGCAATATTGACGGACGTTAAATAACGGACGTTAAGTTGAACAATTGCAGTGGAATGCTGAAATA